CATAGCTGGCTCAGAAGTTCGCTCGAAGAAGGCATAGGCCAAGACGCCGTAGCTACTGGAGGCATTTAAGCCAACTGGGCGACGAAGGATGCGAGGTATAGTACTCGAGTCTACAAGGACAGTTGGATGGTCTGGAAAAAATCTCGAGCGGATTGTGAGATCCAGCTTTGACTTCCTCGATTTGGAAATTTGTATCCAAGTGACATCTAAAGCACCGACTTCTCTTCCTCCTAGTCGCATCTTCGCTCGCGCAAGTATTTTATTCACGAATCTAATAGACGTTTATTCTCGAGAAATAGAATACTCAGTTAATCAAGCGCTCGAGCCCAAGATCAGCGCTTATTATTACTGTTGTCTTTTTTTGGTTCTTTCGGGCGCTCACATGCGCTCACAGCCCTCACATGCCTTTTTCTCTCTCTCCGATATCCATCTCAACCTCTAACGAAGGAGATTTTGAACATTTGTAACCCAAGTGCAGCTCAAAGCAACTCTATAACTCCCCTGCGAATGGATGACGCCTTCCTCTTTGACTAGTGCTATTGCCTATTGGTTGAATATCTGAGAGGTTATATGGGCATTTTGTGTCCGAACGCAAGGTATGTGCTAATAATCTATCCCAACTTCAATGACTGTTCCTGACACACTGGTGTAGTTTCGGAGGCTAGACAATATCAGAACTAGGGATTTTCCTAATCTTTCCCGGCTTCACCTTGGTGAAGCCTTCAAATACGGAAATTTTACAATCTGAAGACCTCTATCTTGTCGAAATTGGTCTTCTCACCAACCATTCCGATGGTCATTCGGCCGATTCAATCCGAACAACATTTATATAAAGGCTGTAGAATTAATCTTTTGCTTTTCACCACTGTGTTCCGAGCGGGTTTCGACGTTATCAGCCAAAATGTCTTACCACCTGTCTCGCACATTTCTCATAACGCGACGTCAATATTATCGGTGAGTTTCCCGGGTTCTTCTTCCATATTTATACCTCATCTCGCCCTTGAATAGTTCATTCAGCGCATCATCAGCTCATCCCACGAGCCCTAGCGAGAATCTTCCTCTTTCTGGAATACGCGTTTTGGAGCTAGGTCAATTGATTGCGGGTCCATTCGCCGGTCAATTACTTGGGTACAGGATTATTGAGTCACTCCCTCGGTCTGCTTTTGCTGATGTTGCTTGTTTCTAATTTAGGCAATTCGGAGCAGAAGTCATCAAAATCGAGCCGCCAAAAGTTGCCGACCCATTGCGCGTGTGGAGAGAGCTTGATGTCGATGGAACCAGTCCGTGGTTCAGAAGTATCGGGAGGAATAAGAAGAGTGTGGCGATTGATTTACGGAAACCGGAGGGGCGAGAGTGGGTTTTGTACATCATCTAGAATGAGTTCAACTCCTAATTTTCTACTAAAGAATCGTCAAGCGACTGGCTATCAAAAGCGATGTCATCATCGAAAACTTCAAACCTGGCAGTACGTCCTTCCTTTAATCTCAATGCGCGATCGTTGACCACACACCTAGCGCTCGAAAAATGGGGCCTCGGTCCAGAAGCCCTCCATCCACATAACCCTTCTCTCATCTTCACCCGTGTAAGTGGTTATGGCCAAACTGGACCATGGGCCTCACTTCCCGGGTACGCATCAGTTTGCGAGGCCGAGAGTGGATTTCGTTATATCAATGGACTTCCGGATCCAGATACCGGCGGGCTTGCTGGGCCTCCTGTGCGTCCGAATATTAGCCTTGGTGATTCGGTTGCTGGACTGCATGCGGCTTTTGGTACGGTGAGTCCCTGTTGATTACAAGCTTTAAACCTCTTTAATGATCTTTGTGTTTCTTCAGGTCCTTGCTTTACTGGCTCGTCAAGGGAAGCGTAAAAGAGGTGAAACCGAGGGAATGACCGTGGATGTTAGCATTCTGGAAAGGTAAACACACCCTTGGCTCTACTATCGTCGTGTGCTTAAGTTTGGTATCATACAGCATGCTCAACCTAATGGAAGGTATCGTACCTGAATACGATCGGAAAGGCAAGGTTTGTTCAATCCTTCGAGTGGTCTTATTTCACCTTTCTTACTTTATTCATCCTAGATTCGTGGTCCTTCAGGATCTTCCAGTCACCGGCATCGTCCCTACGAACGCATATCCGTGTCTCCCTTCTGTCGAAGCACCACCATCCCCTCCTACATTGTCATCGGCGCCAACGGCGATTCAATCTATAACCGTCTCATGGAGGTCATCGAACGCCCAGACCTCGTTGGACCCTCATACGCACAAAATCACCACCGAGTCGAGAGACAGGAGATCATCGAGAATGCTATATCATCATGGACGAGTCGACATACTACGGAGCAAGTGCTTATTGCGATGAAGGCCAAAGGAGTGCCTGTAGGACGGGTGGTTAGTGTAAAGGATGTTGTGGGCGGTGAGCAGGTGAAGGCACGAGGCGCGGTTAGAGATGTTTGGGTCGATGGGAATGAAAGTGGGAGAGATGGTTGGAATGTGAAAATGACGGGGACGTTCCCTGTACTCGAAGGGTGTGATTCTCAACCCAAGTGGGCTGGGCCTGATTTGGGGTATCATACAGAGGAGGTTATGTTGAAAGAGTTGGGGATGACGGAGGCGGAGGTGGCGAACCTTAAGAAAGATGGAGTTGTAGGCTGAGCAAGCGGTGTATTATAGTCGTGCTCATGCCTTTTCATGTGGCAACTGGTTACCGCAGTGAGCGCAGTGAGACATCGGAATCGAGGAGCGGGTGTAACTGTAATATTGATCAAACCCGATACCGGTGTTGTGACCTGTCATGGAAGGAGATCTCGGTCGTGTTCGCTTCAAGCTCTGGTCAGTTGTATCTTGAAGCTGGTGGGTGGCCACCCGTTCGAGACCAAGGTTTTTTCTTGCTGTAGTTCATGCGCTCATCCTGTCTTTCTACAATCTACTCGATTATCTGGTTGCGGGACTTCTTCCGTTGACGCGTTTCATCAAGTCCATTATTTTTGCGGCGCGACGGAGACATCTCGATTGTATTTGAAATGGTTGCACTCTTCACTTGCGCGTTCCGCTGGATCTTTGATCTTGGGTGGCCGTGGAACGCTGTAACATGTTGCAGTCCCAAATTTGTATCTTATCGTCATCGGCTAATAACTACTATATAAAACTACCATGGGTAAAAATCCCCACCCGCTTTCTTCGTTATCTTTCCAACCCACAATTCCTGCTGTATCAAACGCTCTTTTCTGTTTGCTATAATGTTCGCTCGCTCTCTACGCTCTACTCTCATTTTTGCTTTCGCTTTCTCTTCAAATATTGTCAGTGGTGTACCACTCGCAGTCGAACCCTTTGTCCTCGCGTCCCCACAGCGCAACATACCTGGAATTGACATTGACCTCGCAAACCTCGAGGATCAGCTCTCTCTCGCTAATATCCCCAATCCGCTCTATGAAGACTCGCAGCTGTCGTCTTCAATAAGTACGGCTCTTTTCTTCCATCTTTTATATCCGCGACTGATCTGTTCAACTAGTTTCTTCGGCGCTAAAACCAGGGCCCAAGGTGGTTACCATCGAAGTCCAAGGTTCCGGTAGCCTCGACGCGCTGGCGGAACTGATACGAAAAATCCCCCAAAAAATTCCTCGAAGAACTCACGTCGTGATTGAAGTCGAACTCCATAGTGGTGCTCCGATCCTCTTTTCAGCAGTTTTTATCTTCATGTTGGGAGTATACTTGATGTATGCGTCGGGTTTTGAAGATGAGGGGATAGTAGATGACGCACCTCAGGTGGACGAAGAGAAATCTTCCACGACTGTGATGGATTTGATGTTTACATCGGAGGAAGATGAGCGATCAGCGGTAGACGAAAAGAAATCCATAGTTTTAGTGGATCTGATGGTGTAGCTCGTTTAGCGGGTTGGAAATGATGTAGATGGATATGCTGGAGTCGGTAAGTCTTCTCTCAATTCCTATCATTCATTCTTGCTCAACTACGTTTTTATTCCTGATTACAGAACAGACTAGGGCCTTTGATAAACCGTAATCATATTAGGCCAAGCAGCACTAACGCTCAGTCGATCAGAGAGGGATGGTGGTAATGCGTATTCTAACGATAACTACAGTCGTACGCAAATAATATGTACAAAACTTATCCGGCGTAGAGCGCTCTACTGTATACTATTGCATTCTTCATCTAGTCCCGATTCCGAGTTGGGCTTTGGCCCCGGAGTCCTTCACAGGCTCCTGCGAGGAAATGTGCGAATATATCAGAGTGTTGAGCAAAACAGGTGTGAAAGGGGGAGGTTACTTCATGAGAGACTGAATACCTCATAGTGAGTGTGGCGGAAAGATTTAACATAAGACAATATTTTTAAGGCATTAAGCAAATGATCACTTTGCCGGAGTGGTTAACGGGATCAGGTCGGCTGAACACTTTACAGGCGAATGAGTGGCAGTAGAGCTATCTAATTTCTTATAGCAGTAAGGCTAGGAGGTTGGTTCATGAGAGGGGAGGTTGGTTCATGAGAGGGGAGGTTGGTTCATGAGAGGGGAGGTTGGTTCATGAGAGGGGAGGTTGGTTCATGAGAGGGGAGGTTGGTTCATGAGAGGGGAGGTTGGTTCATGAGAGGGGAGGTTGGTTCATGAGAGGGGAGGTTGGTTCATGAGAGGGGAGGTTGGTTCATGAGAGGGGGAGTTGGTTCATGAGAGGGGAGTTGTTCATGAAGGGAGGTTGGTTCATGAGAGGGAGTTGGTTCATGAGAGGGGAGGTTGGTTCATGAGAGGGAGGTTGGTTCATGAGAGGGGAGGTTGGTTCATGAGAGGGGAGTTGGTTCATAGAGGGAGGTTGGTTCATGAAGGGGAGGTTTGGTTCATGAAGGGGAGGTTGGTTCATGAAGGGGAGTGGTTCATGAGAGGGGAGGTTGGTTCATGAGAGGGGAGGTGGTTCATGAGAGGGAGGTATGAGAGGCTGATGCTTCACGGATGAAAATCCTCTAACATAGCACAATTCTAAAGGTCGTAGCTATGGTCACTTTGCCGGAGTGGTTAACGGGATCGCCTGCTATCTTACGTAAGCATCTAGCGGTTGGGCTTTGCCCGCGTGTGTTCGAATCGCACAGGTGACGCATGTTTTTGCATCTTTTTGCATCTTTTTTGCGTGGTCTTTCGGTTTGTACCGTTGAAATATGCGTCTCGTTTTTTGATCATTTTCTCGATCATTTTTTATCACGGAGCTATAAATATTGTCCATCTGATTCTTCACATTGTAGGTGTGACATGTCTTTCTGGGTCCCATTTCATTTTTGCATTGAAGTATACTGTGGCTGCAGATAGTATCTGAATGCATGTCTCTCTAGTTTCCCACAGTCTACAACCTGCGGAAAGTTGTTGCTATCTATTTTGAGTGTCTGCAAGCTCATTTCTGAAATCACCTTTTTGCCATTTTTGGTAATTCATGAGTTATGGCCAATTTAAGTGGCCAACAAAAAAACAGCTACATCGAAAACCTACCTGAGTAGAAAATGGTTATCACAGCTGAAAAGTACATAAAAAATAGTGTAGGATAGCATTTTATCCTATGCAAATTAATTGGGTTAAAGTGTCATAAAATGGGCTGAAAAGTGTGTTAGAAATAAGAAATGGTGTTTAATGATTGTGTAGCCGTTTGACCTCGACTGGGCCCTGAGGCAAACGGGTAAGGTACATGAGCAACTACATACTGTATTTATACCTGTAAGAATGACTATGTCATAGTGCATACAACAGGAAAGTGGGTACTATGTGAATATCGGTGGCTACTATGCATACAGTAAAGTGGCTACTGTGAGTGTATGCGCAAATATCTCCTGTGATATCATAAATTCATAAGTATGTTGTAATTAAAATAGATTTTCTGTAAATTCCAACAAAGTGGCCATTTTCAGTGTTTTTGGGCTCAAAACACTCAAAATCCATGAAAATGGGACTTTTGAAGGGCTATTTAAAAGGCATTGAGTCCATAAATTGACATGAGGTAAAATGCTATCCTATACTATTTTTTATGTACTTTTCAGCTGTGATAACCATTTTCTACCCAGGTAGGATTTTGATGTAGCTGTTTTTTTTGGCCACTTAAATTGGCCATAACTCATGAAACACCAAAAATGGCAAAAAAAAAGGTGATTTCAGAAATGAGCTTGCAGATACTCGAAATAGATAGTAACAACTTTCCACAGGTTATAAACTGTGAGAAACTAGAGAAACATGTGTTTGGATACTATCCACAGCCACAGTACTGTACCATTTTGATCAACTGTTCATCCAGGATGATGCATGAGGATCATTCTATTTGACAACCCCCTTGCTTGACAACAACTGTGAGACCCGGTGCACGAAATGGATCTTGAATCAAGGTATCCCGAATGTCTCGCACCTAGATGTAGGTGGAGACCAAATGCAACCACCCGGGGTAACTGTGCCATAAGGTGGGTCTGGACAGTAGTATGAGTGTTGTACGGAACAGTACAAGCCTCAGAGGTGCAAGAAACAGTGTACGGGCCACCCAATGACATAATCAGGAGGAAGCGGGTGGTATTGTGGTCCAACGACCAGAAATGAGTGGAAGCGGATGGAATATGGATGAAGGGGTGGTCCAAAAAGGTGTAATAAGTCCAAATATGGATAATGCAGGTGGAATACAGCAAATGCGGACCGAAATAGCGTGGGAGCGGATGGAATAGGGTGAAAGCGGATGGAATAGCGTGAGAACGGGTGGAAATAGTGTGGGAGTGGGTGGAATTGAGTGAAAGTGGATGATCCCAAAGGTTCTAGAGGTAGCAAAACCCAAATAGGAAGCTCCCAGGGAGCTTTGGTTGTAAAGTTGTAAACAGGGATAGAAGACAGTGAGCTCTGGACATAGATTTGGTATCTACGAACAGAGCCTCGCAGTTAATGCAGATGACAGTGGGCCTTCAAATGGAGCTCGGAAGGCACAACTGGTTAGAACAGATAGAAATAGAGAGACAGAGACAGAGACAGAAGCAAAATGGGATTGATTTGGTAACAATGGTAATAACAGACTAGTGTACATGGACTTGGGGTGTCTACTTATATACTGTAGGGTGGCTGTAAGTTGTTAGGAGGGCCTGATGGATGGTTATCAAGTGCGGGAGGCACCCGGGAGGCAGGATAACTGGTAATCACATGTAGAAAGTGCCCGGCAGGCAGGATAAATGGTAAATAAGCATGGAAAGCACCCACACTTTAGGTAATGAGTGCGGGAAGTATCCGCGGATGGTCAGGAAGTGTGGGAAACATCAGTGGGTGGATAGCGGATGGAGGGAGTGTCTGGAAATGAGCCAAGGCCTGACAACAACCCCCTGTCCTTCGGACTTGACATTACGAACAATTACCTATATTTACTTATATAGTACATAAAAACGAACATTTACTTACTCAGCGACAGAGTCTCGGTCTCGCCGAGACTCATTACCTTTGCATTTGACAGGTATACGCCGATGCCACCAACTGTACAGCTGGTGGTATATACGGCGACACTACGAACGAATAATATATCTTGTTTTCCCCCATTCTTACCTAGTACTGAGCAAACTGCGAGAGTTTACCCCGCCGCACTCAAAGCATCGTCTCCTGCACACACGAGACCTAGCTTTACATCTGGAGCCCACCGCGAGGGGGTAATCCAGTGTAGTTCGCATTAGTTTTTATTTCAACGTTTTACAAAAAGTTTCGTAAAAACGCCTCGACGTCGTCGAGAAGGTCTACGACCTTGTCCAGTTTCTCCAGAAACTCAACAACTTTTAACTTCCCTCCAGTCCGCCGAGCTCACTTACGAGACCTCGGACCTCTTTTCCCCAGTTCCCAATGAAGACGCAGTTCACAATCGTCTTTCGCTTCTAGATCCTTCGAATTCTTTCTCTCCCGAAAGAACTCCCTCTCCTTCTCCCTCTCCGGAAGTAGATTCGTCTCCGTTATCGTCCTCACCGATCACTCCAGATCGCACTCCTAGTCCAAGGAGACAGTCCCCGAGCCCTAGTCCAAGGGTTAGTCCAGATATCGAGCCTAGTCCAAGGCCCACTTACCAGTCCACTCCCATTCCTATTCCATTTCCGCCGTCGATGGCCAACGTACAACCACTCCCTGCTCGCAATGAGCGAAAAGCCCCCAAGTGGGACTCTCAGTACGAAGAACAATTGCCAATGTTCTTCGAGGAGTTCGAAACCGTAGCGAAAGAAGCTGCTATCGACTCCGATGACCTGAAAATGAAGAAGGAAGCACTTCGCTATGTGGATGCGAAGACGATGCGCTTCTGGAGATCCCTCGATACGTTCGAGGACGACCAGAAGACCTGGGACGAGTTCAAGAAAGAGGTCCTCTCAAACTACCCCGGGGCTGAGCAGGTGCCCGAGACCACGACAGATACCTTGAAGAAGGTTGTCACGAAGTTTGCGAAGTCCGGGGTGTCGAACAGCCAGGAATTGGCCGAGTACCACCGAGAATTCGCTACAGTATCGAAGTCGCTCACGAAGCACGGTATCCTGTCTGGCGTCCAGGTCGCGGGATACTATGTCCAGGTATTCCCTGATTCGGTCCGTGCGCAATTGAATATGCGCCTCCAAGTCCAGCACACGGCGAAGAAGAAAGGTGAAGCATATTCTTTAGCCGAACTGAAGGGAGCGGTGGACTTCCTCTTGTCAGATGCAAATACGTCGCTGATAGTCGGAAATTTTAACGTAGGGGACCAGTCAGTGGCCCCCGTATCCTCCATCACCGCCGTGGTCGTTCCAAAAGTCGAACCCACCGAGTCCAAGCTGGACCAGCTTACGCAAATGGTCTCCTCGCTAGCGCAGTTGATGGCGCAAATGGCTTCAAAAGGAGATGGGAATTCGAACAGGTCCAGGAATGACCGTTCTCCAAAGCTGAGTCGTTCCAACAAGTGTTTCTGGGATGATTGCGACAGTCCGAAGTTTGACGATTGCGTGGATCTGCGCGAATGGGTCAGCCAAGGTCGAATCGAGAGAGACGCCAATGGTTTCGTCCAGCTGAGAGGTGGTCAGCGTCTTCCTCGAAACCAGAGATACACCGAGGGTACCTTGAAGCAGCGCTTCGAGCGCTATTTCGAGGACCATCCATCCGAGAAGACCTGGATGTGGGAGTCTCCAACGGTAGAATCGAACCCGTTCGGAGGAGTTGATGTTGGAGTGCACTCGAGGTACACGGTTCAGGGGTTTCAGGGTCGTGCGATGATGGAAAAAGCGTCGACGTATATGGCGGCGTCTGTGGAACATGGCAGCTTTGAAGGAGAGCCTGAAGAGGAGGCAATTCGTCAGCTGTTGTTCAAGATCGAAACACGCCGAGCTGCAAGAGAGAAAGCAGCGAAAGACGTACCTGAGCATTTTTCGAAGCCCAAACCGCCTATTCCTCAACCTCCGGTTCCTCCTCCTCCTTCCGAGTCTTCCCCTCCAGTTCCTATCCCTGGTCCTGCGCGCATTCCAAAACCGATTATTGGAAAGTTGCCGCCGAATTATGTTCCTCCCCAGGAGAGGACAGTTGGAGTTCCGCCGAAGGACGATAGGAACTTTTGATACCGAGCTCCAATAGAAACGGAGGCTGCGGTAGAAAGAGTCGTCCAAGCGGGATTTTCGAGCCTCGTATCTATACGACAAGAGGATCTATTAGCAATCGTGCCGGAATATCGAAAGAAGATTAAAGAGGGTGTGACTAGCCGAAGAATCGGCGTAGATGGAAATTTGTTGGATATGGAAGAGCCAATGTACCTGCTGAGCCAGTCAGGCTCCTCTCCAGCGACAGTCGATGATATGGATGCGCTCCCGTTTCCGCAGATGGGAAAGGAGGAAGTGCTAGAAGTGTTCATGAACGAGCGGAAGGAGCTCGCGGAAGGTGACAGAATATATGTTGGTCGAGAGTCGACTTCCATTCGAGGAGTCACAGCGATTGTTGGAGAACGCCCTGTCCATTGTATTACGGACTGGGGCTGCAGTATAATTGCCATGTCGATGGCAACATGCAACGCGTTGGGCGTAATGTTCGACCCTACGCGTTGCATTCCCCTACAGAGTGCCAACGGTAAGACGGATTGGACCTTGGGGATCGCGAGGGACGTACC